GATGGTAGTTTTGTTTGCACAGACCTCGGGGCAGCGATTAGGTAGCCGCGCGCTGCTCGTTTAGCCAAGCACTGCATTGTACTGTCGGGGAGAGTTCGCAGAAAGCAACTGAAATATGCCTCAGACGACCAAGTTTTCAGTTTTTCACTAAAATTATCAATGATAATGCCAACAGAGTCGAAGGATATGCTGTCCCCAATAAAATGCAAGGTAATGGTATCCATGTGCTTAACTAATTAAGCACTACTCCATGAAAATGTATAGGGAATGGATGTATAGATCCACTTATTCTTAACCTCGGCACTAGCTGCAAGTGAGTGGTCAGCTTCACAACCTGGGCACTTCACTCCTGGAGAAAGACTCCCTGGTACCCATCGGACAGAAGGCTGGGTGAACCTCAGAACTGGTCTACACGACGCAGAGACGAGAAAAATTTTGCCCCTACCGGGACTCGAACTCCGACACCTCGGCCTTCAAGCCCTTAGCCAGAGGCTATACCAACTGCGCTTATGTTGTATCCAATATACAGTCTAAGCTCTCTCTTCATACAAGAATGATTCATATTTAGTAGTTTAATGATGTCATATCACGGGTTGTTTTCAAATTCTCCGTTTCTTACAGATCAGAAGGTTCATTACAGCGTTCACAGCAGTCTGCCACCGGACCCTATTCTAGGGAACACCAATCCAGCCAACATCTCAACATCCTATATATCTTTCACGATCACTTTCGGCAGCTTAAATCGTTTCATAGAACCCAATGCCCTGTATAACAATTCGTAATATGCAATTCCTTTTTATGATGACTAGTTTAGGTTTTTGGATAAATGAACGCATAATTTATAGTATGTTCAACCGTAAAATTACTCAACGAATTTCGGCTTAGATTAAATTTGATATTAGGGGGTCTATTCTTAAAAATGACAATGAATCTAATTTATCTCTATGCCAGTGGTTCTCAACCTTTCTTTTCTTTATATAAGATGAGGGCCTGGCATAATTGAAGCCAGAGCGCGTACCGGCCGCGGCCTGGCGGATGAGAAACACTGCTCTATGCCAGTTTAATATAACCGCACGTTTATGAAGTTCAAACCAAAATTTATTTTGTTAAAAAGCGGTTCAACTAAAACCTGATCTCTGGCATAAACTTACCCATAAACACAAGCTAATAAAGTCGAAGAACTTATTCAAAACATTATTTGATTAGGTTACTATTTAACAATATACATATAAAAGCAATATATATCTCAAATTTCGATTAGTATCAAGGACAGATTAGCATTAACACCAAACAGATATAGAAATTTACAGATAACGTATTTGAAAAGTGCAAGCTATTCCAAATTGGAGAACTTTCTACACTTCGTTAAGATAGTTCTCGGCATTTGCATGGCAACGGTTAATAATATTCCAGGCAGAATGGCTTAGGTCACGACCGCTTCCTTCCAGATCCTTTCTAGTTTATCATTCATCTGTCATCCTATCATCTGAATCAATAAGTCTCGACTATGAAGGCGTCGGTTAAATAATACAGAACCCATAGATGATCAGCCACCATTATCTAGAAGTCAACTATGCCGTTCTTGTATTGAATACTGAACTAGTCCCTTAACATTCAATGGTCCACACTTACCTCTATTGAAGGCGCCGTCTGACCCGGGGCACAGTGATTCGGTAGTGTCCTCGGTCGGATGTTGGTGAGGTCTTCATATATGACGCCATTTCCGTTAGAAACGTCACAGCGATTCTGTGGGGATGTTTTGCACGGCAGAAAGTTCTGCATTTTTCTCTTATGTCTGCAAACAAAAGAGAAGCAACCATCCATGACTTACTGAATTTCAGACATCAAGTCGCTTAAGGCAGAAACTCATCAAAATAATATTTAAGTAACCAATTTTTTTTAATTCGCTTAGTGGGGAGTGGAGTACAACTGGGTCCACTCGGCACGGCGGCCACTGGTTGGCCTATTGTACTTGCCCCGGGTGATTATGATGATGGAGAATTTGGTGGAATGAAGATTGGCAGGGGAAACCGAAGTACTCGGGGGAAAATCCACCCCAGCGCCACTCTGTCCACCAGAAATCCCACTTGACCAGACCCGGGCCGCCGCGGTGGGAAGCCAGCGACTAACCGCTTGAGCTTATGGCACGGCCCTAAGTAACCAATTCCTACCTCATAAAAACATATTACGTCTATGTTACAAATAAAGTTTGGTGGATGCTGCTAACGAAAATACTAGACGTTTATAAAAATAAATAAACTATGTGGGCAGTTCAAGCAGAGGGCTGACCATATGTATGGCAATCCATGTGCTTTAAAGGGCTAACGACCCCAGTACGGATAATTGTAAGATTCGGAGCTCAGGAAAGATATTTCATAATTTGAGCTTCATGTATTGGCTTTTAAACACACAACTGCAAAATCACTTTACTAACGCCGAAACGAATGACATTGACATGTTATTGCTACCTTTTAGGGCTTTTACTTAGACACAGAACCTTCTTGCTGGAACCAAACGTACAATAATTCACCGCAACGTTATGTCCACAGACAAAAGAATAAAATATTGTAGCATGTACTGACCCATTGCTACGAAACGACAGGGAAACAAACAATGAAAAAACGCCTGCTCCTAGGCAGAAGACTAGCAATAACTGAACTACAACAACGTGGAACGGTGTTGTATGTGCAGTCCGCGCCAAGGGGTTACAAAACGGGACAAGTTTAGAATTTAGACAGTTGTGGGATCTGTTGCCAGGATACGGCTAGGGAAGGCGGATTGAGAAGCTCAGCGCGTGCTCTAGTGATTTGTAAAGCGTGGAGACAAACGATCGCGATGAGCTTACTCGTAATTACAAGAGTGTAATAAATCCAATTACCAATAAAACCCCCATCTACAGTCACTCATACACGTGACAATATGCATTACATAACGATTATATAGAAGCCATACAAACTGAATTAAGATTTGAGTTCAATTCTGTATACAGAGGAGTGGATTTTCGATTATGCGTGAAGTAGGAAGTTTTATCAAAATGAAGCAGAAAGAGATGTAAAGAAGAAAGAGACAGAAGAGAAAAGAAAAAGAATACTGAAAGGAAACCACGGTTGAAATCTTTATGATACAATAACGTTCCCAGCTCTATGTTCCTGCAACAGAATATACCTTTAAATTACCATCTAGATACGAACTGTAAGAAACAAAAGAATTCGGACTGCCTTCAAAACCACAGCAACTCAACTGATGACAGGTGACACATTTTGCCACGGAGTTCCTATGTTATCAGAAGAATGTGCCCTGTGGAATTTGGTGGGCCTGCTTACAAGGAGCTGAATTTCAGGAATGTGACAGATGTAACCGATTTCCCACGTGTAGCTCCTTAACAGATGACATATAGACGACACTCATGAGGTTCAATCCAATTTTAGAGCGAGAGATATATACACAAAAGCAACGCAGTATTCTAAGCACTTAAAATGCTTGAATGTATTTTCATTCCAAACGATCAGTTGTTCCAGAACAAACCATTTGTCATAAACCCATGGCTATATTGCTGGGTCTGTGAAAGTAGACCACTCTTCCGTTTGATAGTCAAATAAGACAAGCAAATTTCTGCGCCCTCGTATCGTAGAAATTGAGAAATACTGTTGGTGTTGCCAGTAATAGTAACTGATCATGTAACTGACCGCCTCTTTGGTCTAGTGGTCAGAGTTCCCGCCTACAGATCCAGAGGTCCGGGTTCCATTCCCGGCGCTACCAGATTTTCTGAGAAGTAGTGGGTCTGGTACGGGGTCCAGTCAGTCTCGTGAGGATAACTGTGGAGCTATTTCAAGGACATAACGGCTGCGGTCTAAAAAACCTAAATTAATGGCCGTGGAGATTCGTTGCGCTGACCACGCAACACCCTCTATCCGCAAAAGTTGGAACTTCGTCGACAAGCGGCGCTCGCTCGGTCGGTATAGTTCGCTTGCGGACTACAGGCCACCATGTTTGTTTGATCATGTAACTTACATTTAAAATTTTTTCATTCTTTAGAATGTAAATGCGAAACATGTTTTCTATAATTTTATCCTGTACGAACTCGTACAGGATACGCACATCTTCTATTTATAAATCGGAACGTAAGAAAAGCTAGACATTGCTACACACCAAGAAAACAGTTTTTGGTATTTAATTGCTGTCTTTAAATTTCTGATTGCCATCTAAAAATATTCGCGGAATCGTCAAGCCTGACAGAACCCAAACTTAATTACGTGTTCTATGGAGCTGCAGGCTAATGTAATTTACTTTGAGTGAAGAGGAGGGTTGTTACGCTCCTTCTGACTGGAGCGTAGCGAGACGACGTCTGACGTTACCAGAAACTCGGTTACGCTGGAAAGAAAATGTTAAGAGAGTAGAATACCTCGCCACAATTTCGCATCAGTTAGCTAAATAAAAAGAATTCGAAACAGAATCTGCGATGTTGCTTCAATCTAACCAGGACCGATCGTACTAAAATACATTCCACTTTTCGAGGAAGTTCGTAATCTTGCCATTCAATTCTCTGAGCTTTGAAACGGGATGTATGGAGGGGCGGATTTTAAACCGTATGTTATCAGCGCTTATTTTATAAAATTTAAACACTTTTTCCTAAGCAACCACACGCTCTACCGTTACGAAATTTCGTATAGATGTATTTGCCTGCATTCGATTCAATCTCCAACCCAATCAGGGGCTCTTGAACCATGGGTAAAGCAACCTTGCCTCCACCTTGTGCGGAAGTAAAGAGCTGTATATCCGTAACTTACATATGTCATCACTAGCGCTGCTGTGACAAAGCTAGGATATTGATGCCCTAATATTCATATGCCGGTGTAAGGCATGGGTGTTTGATGTGTGTATGCGTTTATTCTGTTTGTTTTGTCCTGTGCTTAGGTAGACGCCTTGTGACGAGCTGATCACCCACCCAAGGAGTCCTACCGTCTGTAAAAATTATCATGAAATTGAGAAATCAGCCCTATGTTCCAAAGTGGGTGCGAGATCAAGAAAAATTCTTCATGCGTTGTTTGAATTATTCGTATATCCAAAACATACCCAGTTCGAATCTTGGACAAAGATTTATCCCAAGGTTTCAACAATTTCTTCTATGTAAAAACACTCAAAACAGACAATAGCCGCTACTAACTCATACTCCTACCTGCCTTATCTTCATGATGAACTTGTAATTTTGTAACCTTCCATAAAATAATATTATAAACGCAAGGGTGCTTTAAATTAATAATAACAGAAATTAATAGAAATGTCAGATTTGAGGTTCTCACAGTCCTGTCTTCTGGAATATATCAATGTGTAGTCTAAGTCAACTGAAATTTTGGAGGAACATTTACTGCCTGTTTTCATTCGTGTCTTACTCTTCAACACTGAAGACGGAGGCGACATACTCCTCCGAAACGTCTGGCTAATTTTCAACGGATTACATTGCGTTATAATCTCAGGATATGTATCTCTTAAGTGATATACAGTTTTCATGGCCGTCAAATAGAGCATTAAAGTGAAATTTATAATTATATGACTTATTTTCTTTAATTTGTTAGGTTTATTTCTTGTTATGATTTATTTGCTCATGTTGTTTTACGTTTCTGGTATTCAAAGACGTCTGACTGTGTTACTCTGTACAATTTTCCAATCTTCTAGCAACATTTTAACAGAACGTTGCCTTATGCATTGCACTGTCTGCAGGCAACACACAATACAATGACACTACAAAGTATTCAATCTCCTTGAGAAGCTGCCTCAGTGTCTGAAGTGTGCCATTTGTATCTGCAAAAGATTTCCCGTAATAGCCAACTGAAATCTCTAGGTATTCGGTGTTACAGACGAATTCTCTTCAATATTCAAAGTATCTTTATCTGTTGACAAAGACAAACTCCATGTGGACGATGTCCTATGAGAGATGCTGTACATCTGCGCTTCGCCCGCGCTGCTTAATGTTACTGCAAAGAAAGCAGCTGCAAATGTAAGAAGTTTCCAAGCTCCAGTGATAGACAAGCCGGTTTCTTCAATGCACATCTACAGTAATGAAACTGAGAAATCAATGCTCAGCTTTGCAGTTTCCTGGTTAGATACACTGATCGATGCTTTGGAGGGACTGACTCTTCAGACATAACATAATGCTTGAATATAGCAAGCAAACTAATTAAGGCGCTACCAACCTACCGAATCCATATTGTGATATAATGGCGGAAGGCCGGAGTGGTGGAGCTAGAGCAGACGTCCATTGCTAAATAACGGCTAGGTAAACATTCGTTCCCGCGGTAACAAAGGCATTCCCCTGATGACAAATCATCTACATGAATTTCCATGTCAAAATCAAAGTCACTTTGCGACTGACGGTCAGTCAGTAAGTCTTGGTGTCGAGCCCCATCTGGAGCTCATGATCAGATATTTATTACTGCTTGACCGTTACGGTCTTGTTTTTTGGGGCGGCCTCTCTAACGAGAGGACGGATCTCTCTTTTATATATGCTGCTGGCCCTTGCCAGCGCAGTCTTTCTCGGGTCTGAGTCCGTTGGGACTCTTGACCATGTTTCACTGTCTCAGTTTTGAGACTTCCCTTTTCGTCGCCTCCTACGACTCGCAGGGTCACGGTGGAGGTATTCGATCCCGCCTGCACATGGGTATTGAATTTCCATGGATACGAGCTAGCCGACTGACCGTCGGTCGTAACAGAAGACTTGACCTCAACTCCCAAGGATTCATTCGCCAGACAGACGTCGATCAAGTCAGTTCAACGTGTGAGCAGGAATTCTTCGTTCGT